GCAGGTATTTCTGATGATCTCTAGAGGTTTCCAAGAATTGTGGTTCAGTTCCATAAATTTTCCACAGATAGTATATACCTGGAATAGCCTTCCAGTGAGAGCAGTAACAGTGAAATCGAAAGGGTAGTAGATACCTGGAATAGCCTTCCAGTGGGAGCAGTAACAGTGATATAGAAAGGGTAGTAGATACCTGGAATAGTCTTCCAGTGGGAGCAGTAACTGGAATAGCCTTCCAGTGGAAGCAGTAACAGGGATATAGAAAGGGTAGTAGATACCTGGAATAGCCTTCCAAGGGAGCAGTAACAGTGATATAGAAAGGGTAGTAGATATCTGTGTGGCAAAACCGGCCTCGCCACGTGTCCTTGGAGGGGGCTGCTTGCCCGCCTCTTGCCTTTGGACTATGGACCAGACTTTATGTGAATGTGTTAACCCAAATAGCTATGCCATGGAGCCCATTCGTGTAGTTAAAGACTTCGGCTCCATGGCAATTGAACTGTGTGAATAGGATCTGAGCGCTATTTGGTAGTTTTGTGCGCTCAGATCCCAGCTATCTGGGGATATGTGACATGTCTGTGTTTTATGTATAAAAGGTGACTTTATATATTTTAAAGTGTTTTGTGTCTTTTTGCAACCACGTGCTTAATGGAGTCTTGTGTCTGTCCTGGGAGATAATTGAATTACTTATCTCCAGGATAGAAGACTCTGAAACTGGTTTGGGCCAGAAAGCCATGCTTCATTTAGTCACAAAGGACTTTCCCTTAACTTTTGAACCCCTGGTCTGATTCGTGCCATTTTTTAATATGTTGTTCCCCTGAATGGATTGATTATGAAAATGTATGTTTTATGTTTGTGACATTTATATTTTAGAAGTTATAAATATTGTGTAAAAACTGTATTCCTCTGCCGTTGATAATGAGATTACCCATTGTGTTCAGTAATCATATCACATGCAGAGGGGAGGATTTTGTGTGGGAGTGTCTGGGTGTATTGTACGGATTGATTGGTTGTTTTGTAACGCCCTGTGGGCTGTACTATGTTTGGGGATTGGGAATAAAAGAGACTGTATGTGACAGCACAGAGAGTTCCTGTTTTAACCCTCAAAGTGAAGTGTCGTCTCATTATTGGGGGAAGGATTCATTGTATGCTGTTCCAGTTTGACTGCTAGGAGAGTAAACCTATTCGTATGGTTCCTATTCAACTGTCTACAGCATTCATATGCTTGGGAAAATTTATTTGTTTCTCCGGTTCGGTGATTGTGGTGTCTGCCAGAGTGCTTGGAGTCCTCAGGAAGCGCTAGGAGCATCCTTCAACGGAGGTACCCAGTCGGGGGTGCCAGGTGATCCGTTACAATCTGGAATAGCCTTCCAGTGGGAGCAGTAACAGTGATATAGAAAGGGTAGTAGATACCTGGAATAGCCTTCCAGTGGGAGCAGTAACAGTGACATAGAAAGGGTAGTAGATACCTGGAATAGTCGTCCAATGGGAGCAGTAACAGTGATATAGAAAGGGTAGTAGATACCTGGAATAGCCTTCCAGTGGGAGCAGTAACAGTGACATAGAAAGGGTAGTAGATACCTGGAATAGCCTTCCAGTGGGAGCAGTAACAGTGATATAGAAAGGGTAGTAGATACATGGAATAGCCTTCCAGTGGGAGCATTAACAGTGATATAGAAAGGGTAGTAGATACCTGGAATAGCCTTCCAGAGGGAGCAGTAACAGTGACATAGAAAGGGTAGTAGATACCTGGAATAGCCTTCCAGTGGGAGCAGTAACAGTGATATAGAAAGGGTAGTAGATACCTGGAATAGCCTTCCAGTGGGAGCAGTAACAGTGATATAGAAAGGGTAGTAGATACCCGGAATAGCCTTCCAGTGGGAGCAGTAGCAGTGATATAGAAAGGGTAGTAGATACCTGGAATAGCCTTCCAGTGGGAGCAGTAACAGTGACATAGAAAGGGTAGTAGATACCTGGAATAGCCTTCCAGTGGGAGCAGTAACAGTGATATAGAAAGGGTAGTAGATACCTGGAATAGCCTTCCAGTGGGAGCGGTAACAGTGATATAGAAAGGGTAGTAGATACCTGGAATAGCCTTCCAGTGGGAGCGGTAACAGTGATATAGAAAGGGTAGTAGATACCTGGAATAGCCTTCCAGTGGGAGCAGTAACAGTGATATAGAAAGGGTAGTAGATACCTGGAATAGCCTTCCAGTGGGAGCAGTAACAGTGATATAGAAAGGGTAGTAGATACCTGGAATAGCCTTCCAGTGGGAGCAGTAACAGTGATATAGAAAGGGTAGTAGATACCTGGAATAGCCTTCCAGTGGGAGCTGTAACAGTGATATAGAAAGAGTAGTAGATACCTGGAATAGCCTTCCAGTAGGAGCAGTAACAGTGATATAGAAAGGGTAGTAGATACCTGGAATAGCCTTCCAGTGGGAGCAGTAACAGTGATATAGAAAGGGTAGTAGATACCTGGAATAGCCTTCCAGTGGGAGCAGTAACAGTGATATAGAAAGGGTAGTAGATACCTGGAATAACCTTCCAGTGGGAGCGGTAACAGTGATATAGAAAGGGTAGTAGATACCTGGAATAGCCTTCCAGTGGGAGCAGTAACAGTGATATAGAAAGGGTAGTAGATACCTGGAATAGCCTTCCAGTGGGAGCGGTAACAGCGATATAGAAAGGGTAGTAGATACCTGGAATAGCCTTTCGGTGGGAGCGGTAAAGGCTAAGAATTTGAATTAATGGTTGCTTGATTTGTGAAGCTAACAATCTGTTACATTTCGTAGAATAGAAAGTATTTTTTTCTGTAAATTTGTTTCCCTTTTTCAGGAATTTCTTATTAACCAGAGGAGAAGACAAATGAGGAACAGAAGGAACAGCCATTAGGAGAGGCAGAACCTGCGCTCGGGCCATAAGGAACAGAGTCACAGTGCCCCCTGCTGGCGATACTGTGCTACTACTAGCGTCACCTTTTAAACACAAACTGATTTCTGTTACACAGCCTCAGGCTTAAAATGATTAACCACTTCACTTCCCAAAAAAATATTAACATAATGTGCTTTTTCTATTTTTTCGTATAGTTTCAGAGAAACTCAAAACAATAAAATTATGTCATTTAAAAAAAAAAAATGTTTTGTCTGTTTTCGAAAGTACACAGTGTCCTTTTATCTTGCTATATTCAGGGTCTGAAATGTAACTATAAAGGCAAAAATATAATTTCTGTATTCTGTCTGTCTCTAGCTCTATCCCTGTCTCTGTATTCTGTCTGTCTCTAGCTCTATCCCTGTCTCTGTATTCTGTCTGTCTCTAGCGCTCTCTGTCTCTGTATTCTGTCTGTAGCTCTCTCCCTGTCTCTGTATTCTCCCTGTCTGTAGCTCTCTCCCTGTCTCTGTATTCTGTCTGTCTCTAGCTCTATCCCTGTCTCTGTATTCTTTCTGTCTCTAGCTCTATCCCTGTCTCTGTATTCTGTCTGTCTCTAGCTCTCTCTCTGTCTCTGTATTCTGTCTGTGTCTAGCTCTATCCCTCTCTCTGTATTCTGTCTGTCTCTAGCTCTCTCTAGCTCACTTCCCTCTGGACCTGAGAGTAGACTACAGTAAAAACATATACACAATCACATTGGCTCTCAGGTCCAGGACACTCCCATACAAAGTAGGTTAATCCCTCCTCGGTACCTGGGAGATAATTGAGTCAAGCACTGTACTAAACTCAATTATCTCCAGGCACAAAAAAAAAATATATTTTTAAACATATTAAAAATATCTTTTAAACACATGGAAACGGCAATATAGTCATATCCTCTGATAGCCCCGCTCTGGGGGACCAACATATATAAAAAATGACCCAGATCGGTTCAGGGGTTCAGGATTTCCATGGAAGTCTCTGTTTGACCGACCGCAGACAAGGCTCTGCCCCAAAAGAGTTCCATGAAATAGTACAGTAAGTGCAGTAGGTATACTGTGTATGTGTGGCAAAACTAGCCACTTAAGACAATTCGTGTATTGCATGTGTGGATACCCTTGTTTTAGCTGTAAGAACCAAGTATAATACTGTATGTGGCTTTCAGGCGAACGAGGGCGTTCGTATGCTTGCAATGTGGAAAACCCAGCATTCCCTATTGTGATAGAATTTATCTTGATTCCAAGGCTCAAGCTTATAGGTGTCATATAATGATATCCTATATTAAAATTGGCTAACTTGGACTCAGGAAATGCTTGCTGCTTAAACAACACTTAAGACCATGTATGTCTAAGTTCCGGGAGCAGAGAGCCCCCACCTAAGATGTCTCTGCTCTAATCATTTTGTTCTCTCTTGCCTTGAAACTTATTTGTTATGTGTACATGACGCTCATCCCTATGTCTTATATGTACTCTCTTCCTATTACTGTTCTAAGAGTATTTGCACGTAAGCACTTACTTTTTAATGTATAAAACCCAGCTGATGAATAAAACGTCAGAGGCTTATTTTGAATACCAACAGGTGTCTGGTGTCTAATTCTCGCTTCTCCAAGTGCACTTGAAACAACAATTTGGGCTTCCTCTGAATATAACAAAGATCAACATTTCTGATCCACAACAATTTGGTGCCGAAACCCGGGATCTGACAGTCGAGAGACTAGGACACTAGCGTACAGGTGGACGTCCCTCTGACAGTGAAATAAGCTGCAGCAAGGTAAGAAAAACTTTTTTTCTACCTTTATCAATTTCGCTCTCAGATCCACGTCCTACTAGTCTGTCTGGGTAAATAACGACTTAAAAACATCTGATCTAAAGAACTTGTTTTCTGTGGTATTATGGTTATATTCAGGTGGAGGTTATGTTATGTCTTGTGAAAGGAATCTTGAGATAGTGGAATATATCTGTGGGTTGTAAGTTATTTTTATCATTTGCCTTGTCATTTGTTTTATAATTGAGTTAGAATCCTCCAAGGGCAGATCTCCTGATCTGTGTTTAGAAGACAAAACTGGGAAAATTCCACTGCAGCGGTCCTAAGTGTTAAATACACTGTTTTTGTACAGTTTGTCTTGTGTAAGGAAGTAATTAACCCTTACAAGTTTTAAGATGGGTAGCTCTGAAAGTACCCAAGGGGGATTTACGGCTTTGACTATTGTCAAGCATCACAAAGGACAAGGAGCAATTAAGAATGTTAAGAGGTCACTTAAGAAAGCTGGCATGCCCTCAGAAGGCACTCTAGACCCACATATATGGAGTGAATTTATGGCAAATTACAGAGGTTGGCTAGAAGATAATGACTTAGTAGAAGTCGCACAAAAATGGCATGATACTGCTGTTGAATTAACTAAATGTGGTTGTAGAGAAACCACCAGGAAAGGTGTACCATATTATCAATGTTTTGGACCTTTAGGGTCCCAGAGTAGGCAAGATCCTGGGAAAAATCTTGTAAACCCACCCCTTTACCAGGATATTGCAGGGACTCCTTTAGCGATTTCCCTTTTACGGAGATCAAAACCTCTCTTTCCAGTAATATTACGCAGTGGGACTTCATATGGTGTCCCAGTAAGACCTATGGGTTCATTAGAGCAGGAAGGTAGTCCAGACTTAAATGAACCCCTAGTTGCCCCCACAGACACCCCAGTGGGGCCATTAGCTCCACAATTTACTGCTCCCATGATACCCAAAGTTGAGAGTGTATACCATGAGCACAGACAGCCGAGCGCAGGTATCCAATACTGGGAAGAATATAAGCCCTGGACACCCAACTGGCAATAATACAGCAGCTGGCAGATGTTGAAAAGGCCCCCTTAGCTCTAGTCCAGTCTCTATCCACAATTCAAGCTACTTACCAGTGTACTTGGATGGATTTAAAACAGATTGTGGCACTAAAAGCTGGTCCCATTTTGGCTAGAATAATTGCTAAATATACAGATGCCCATGAAGATAACCTCAGAAAATGCAACATGCAAACAGATGAATGGTTTAGAACCAAGTCTGCATCTGGAGCATGCTATGTCACTGCAATGAGAGAATGGGCTAAGGTAAAGACAGAAGAACTAGCCCATAAATTAGGAGACATACTACAAGGGAAAGATGAATCTGTAGAAACATTCTTCACCAGACTACAAATGGCTTGGGAGGCATTGGGTTACACTGATGTTGTAACCACTTCCACCAGACTGCTTATTAACTGTTTCATGGATGGTATCCACATACCCATAAGGACTGGTCTCCAAAATGCTAGACCTGAGTGGAGAAGTTTAACCTATGGTGATCTGGTGAAGGTGGCTAGGGGAGTGGAAGCTAATCTAAATACTAGAAAGAGGAGCACACCTCTAATGACTGTAACTGTCCCTAGAGCTGGTGGGGACAGAAGGCAGGTAGACTGCTGGAATTGTGGCAGGAAAGGACACATTAAACGTAACTGCAAGTGTCCTCCTAAAAATAGAAAACCCCAAGATTCTAATGATAACCTCCCATGACAGCCAACCACCACCACCACCTCCCCCCACCCCAATAGGAAATTGGCAAACCAGTGTCCCTACATATCATCAATATCCCTGACTCTGCAGGACCCTCACCCATTATCAATGTTACACTGCCTGGGGACCGAATAATCCCTTTCCTGTTGGACATTGGCGCTGCTAAATCAATGTTACAGGAAAAATATGTGTTCCCGTATGAGAAATCTAATGATGTATTATCATGTGTAGGGGTGGATGGTATCGAATATGACATTCCCCTTACCCACAAGCTGAAATTGAAGCTACACAACTCTACTGCCCTTGTAACAAGGCTACTTGTCAGCCCTCATGCCCCTGCTAATCTACTAGGCAGTGATATACTGTCTGCTCTTAGTGCAAATATCCAGTATAGCCCCAGTGGAAAAGTAACATTGTCTGTGCCTTTAGAGGACAAACAAATGATATCTCTTTCAAATGTTCTGGCAACTCTCACTATGCCCAGCCATGTGCCAGAACCTACCATTGACTTGTCCTCAGTCCCTGATTCCTTATGGGCTACAGGGAAGACAGATACAGGCAGACTCTCTGTGCCCCCAGTCAAAGTGAATCTCCTGCCCGGAGCCAAACCTCCCTATCAAAAACAATACCCCCTAAGCCCAGCACAGGAAGATGCTATTTCGCAATCTGTGCAAGAGTTTCTGCAGGCAGGGGTAGTTGTCCAGACCACCTCCCCTTGTAACACACCATTGTACCCAATTAAGAAAAAGCAAGAGAAAGGGAAACCTGTGGTCTACCTTATGGTACATGATTTGAGGGCAATTAATGCTGTGACTGAACTCATTGCCCCTAATGTTCCCAACCCATACACCTTGTTGGCACAAATACCACCTTCCTCTAAGGTATTTACTGTTATTGACTTGGCAAATGCATTTTTCAGTGTCCCCCTGGCTCCCGACAGTCAGTTTTTATTTGCATTTACACATAAACACAAGCAGTACACTTGGACAGTATTGCCACAGGGCGCACAAAACTCACCCACTATGTACAGCATGGCTATGGCCCAGATTCTTGAAGAGTGGCAAAGGCCAAATAACGTAATTTTATTGCAGTATATCGATGACCTACTCCTATGTTGCGATAGTATGGAATCTTGTATTGTAAACACTCTTTCCTTACTAAAATTCCTAGAAAAAGCAGGCTGTAAAGCAACAAAAACGAAACTGCAAGCATGTCTAGAGAAAGTTATTTTCCTAGGACATTGCATTTCCCAGGGCATAAAACATCTCACGGAAAGTAGAAAAACTGCAGTTCAAAATATTAGACCCCCCGCAGTTTAGCCCAGGTTCGTACTTTCCTCGATTTGATTTCTTACAGCCGTCCTTGGTTGCGTTCTGTAGCTATCTACATGCAACCACTGTATGATTGTCTTGCCAACGAAAATAAACCATTTAAATTAACCCATGCGGCAGAAAATGCCTTCTATACACTTAAGGTACTGGTAACGTCAGCTCCGGCACTGGGTCTCCCAGATTACAGAAAGAATTTTAACCTGTTCTGTACTGAGCAATCAGGTTATGCTACATCTGTCCTTACACAGGATCATGGTGGTAAACAAAGACCAATAGCATACTACTCCACCAGATTGGACCCTGTTGCCAGGGGTGCCCCCTCATGTGTTAGGGCAGTGGCGGCTGTTACTGCCCTCCTGGACAAAGCCACTGACATTGTTTTAGATAATCCGGTGACCATATACACACCGCATGATATCAACAGCATACTCTCACAAGTTCAACCAAAACACATACATACTGCAAGGCATCTCAGAATGCAATGTGCCTTGCTTATGCCACCTAATATTACTCTTAAAAGGTGTATGGTGTTAAATCCATCTACATTGCTTCCCCTGGATTTAAAAGAGGGGAGTGGGGATAGTGTGAATGGTACTTGTACTTCTGATCTTTTTGTAAATTCACTTTCACCAGATGAGTTAGCTGACGCCCAGGTACCCCATGATTGTGCAGCACTAATGGCACAAGAGACAGCAGGTTTTTTGCATGTAATTGATTCTCCATTATCTAATGCAGATTTTGAGTTTTTTGTAGATGGTTCCAGATATGCTGATGAGAAGGGTAATTTCCACACTGGATATGCTGTAGTCTCTGCACATGAGGAAATAAAAGCTGAACCACTCGCTCCTCACTGCTCTGCACAGGCGGCTGAGCTGAAGGCACTCGCTGAAGCATGTAAAATGGCTTCTGGTAAGACTGCTAATATTTATACAGACTCTCGCTATGCTTTTGGTATAGCCCATGATTTTGGCCCTATATGGCGGGCTCGTGATTTTCTCACCTCAGCAGGAACTCCAATCAAGAATTCTGAAGCTGTGAGTGCACTTATGGACGCTATCCTGCTACCCACTCAAGTAGGCATCATCAAGGTGGCAGCTCACGTGAAGATCACAGATGAAATCTCAAAAGGAAACCACAAAGCAGACGAAGCTGCCAAGCAAGCAGCAATCCAAGTTCATCCCTCTACAGGTAATACCTTCCTACAAGTTGTTCTTACAGATGACGCCGTTGACTACAATATACTGTTGAGCTTACAAAGACAGGCAAGCAAGGAAGAACATGACCTCTGGAGGAAACAAGATGCAGAACCTGATGATGACAGAATGTGGAGGAAAGGTAAAAGACTGTGTTTACCACGAGTGTTGTACCCCATGATGGCCCAGATTTCCCATGGACCTACACATCTATCCAAGATGCACATGAACCGCATAGTAAACACCCATTGGGTAGCACCCGGATTGCATATTTGTGCTAGAAACAATCCAGGACAAGCTGTGAAAACACCAAGTAAGCACACACCAAGGCCACTTTACCCGTTTCAAAGACTGCAGATAGACTATATTCAACTACCTAAGGTAGGAGTGTATGAATATGTGTTGGTGTACATTGATCTCTTTTCAGGTTGGCCTGAGGCCTACCCAGTGTCGAAAGCCACAACAAAGGTCACAGCAAGTAAGCTTCTGAAGGAACTGGTCTGTAGATTTGGAGTACCTGAAGTGATTGAAAGTGACAGAGGTAGCCATTTCACTGGGGAAATAATGCAAGAAATTATGAAAGCCTTAGGGATCAGTCAGGCCTTCCACACCCCCTATCACCCCCAGAGTAGTGGGAAAGTAGAAAGGGCAAATGGCACCTTAAAGAACAAGATTGCAAAAGCCATGCAAGACACAGGGAAGCCCTGGACTGAATGCCTTCCCCTAGCACTCTTTTCTATGAGATTCACCCCCAATTCCAGACATGGCTTATCCCCTTTTGAGATCCTGTTTGGATGTGCCCCAAAGACAGGCCTCTATTTTCCACAAACCCTCCAGATGCAGCATGGTAGTATGACTGCCTATGTTCAAGCCCTACACCAAAGATTAGGCAGGGTGCATAAACAAGTCTTTGATTCTATTCCAGATCCAGACTCTGATTCTGCAACTCACAAACTGCAATCTGGTGATTGGCTGGTGATAAAGAGGCATGTGAGGAAAGGACTTGAACCACGCTTTGACGGTCCATTCCAAGTGCTCTTGACTACGGCTACCTCAGTGAAACTAGAAGGAAAAGCCACGTGGATACACACCAGTCACTGTAAACAAGTCACTCCGACCGATCCACCGACATAAAGCTGATCTTATCCTTTACCATTGTATGCTCTGTTCAGATATGCTACTCTGACTTGAGACCAGAAGATAATAATGCATAGCAGGGACATATATAATTGCAGATAACAAAGGCTTTTAATTTAACCTCCTTTTGCCTCAACCCTTTCCTTAGTACGGAAAACGTCATAGAATCTTGTCTTATAGCTGTTCCTACCCCCATCTCACTCTTGAGGAAGTACCTACATACCCATAGATCCCATAAATATCTACCCGAGTAATTAATGCTGTAGCCTGTTCCCTTGCAAAAGGTTTAAATGTCACTTCACAGGCCCTAGAAGAGCTACTTATGGACAGCCAGGCAAATAAGAAGGCAATCCTTGAGCATAGAGCAGCCATTGACTACTTACTAATAAAACATGACTTAGGCTGTGAAGCTATTGAAGGTATGTGCTGTTTTAACCTATCTGACCATGGCACTATGATCCATAAACATATAAAATATTTACATGACTTAGTACAGGTTATCAAACAGGATACTGGCTTCTTTGGGGATTGGACATTTGGGCTAGGAACATGGTTAACTTTACTAATTAAGAACATTTTGTACTTTTTGCTATTAGCTGTATTTGTCATTATGGCTATTTTTCTAACCTTTAGATTTTTTTCATGTCTACTAACCTCTCTATGTAAGCAAAGCAAACCTACTGTTGGTCGTACCTTAACTTACATTCCAGCTCCGACTTCGAAAAGGTTTTATGATGTTACCTCGCCTAACAAATAAAGGAACTCTCCTCTGCTGATTCTGGTAGTCTCTCAGTCCAAGGGAACCGTGGTGAAGCAATAAATGAAAGTCCCACAGGCTTTGGCTAGCAGGCCTGGATATACCTTGGACATTTGGGTGACCCTTGGATCAAAAGAGGGGATTGTGATAGAATTTATCTTGATTCCAAGGCTCAAGCTTATAGGTGTCATATAATGATATCCTATATTAAAACTGGCTAACTTGGACTCAGGAAATGCTTGAAGCTTAAACAACACTTAAGACCATATATGTCTAAGGTCCGGGAGCAGAGAGCCCCCACCTAAGATGTCTCTGCTCTAATCATTTTGTTCTCTCTTGCCTTGAAACTTATTTGTTATGTGTACATGACGCTCATCCCTATGTCTTATCTGTACTCTCTTCCTATTACTGTTCTAAGAGTATTTGCACGTAAGCACTTACTTTTTAATGTATAAAACCCAGCTGATGAATAAAACATCAGAGGCTTATTTTGAATACCAACAGGTGTCTGGTGTCTAATTCTCGCTTCTCCAAGTGCACTTGAAACAACAATTTGGGCTTCCTCTGAATATAACAAAGATCAACATTTCTGATCCACAACACTATGTAGTTTCACGAACAGTGAGTTTCAATACTGTTCATGAAACGAATGAACTACTGAATGGTTGACCACACACAGTAGGTCGTGTGGCGCTCATTAACCGATTGCAACATTGTTGCAATCGGTAGTTAAAGGCTTCCCTAGGTGGCTGTCGTTCGGCTACCGACCACGTGGCGGTCGGCCATCTTGATTCCTTTGTTAGCCCAGCGGGGTTTAGCCGTCGAGCGTCTGGAACTAAAATCAGCTACTCGACGGCGCGAACCCCGCTGGACTTCCAGGCCGTTCGGGAGCCCTGGGCGTTCGGTAGTTTGTTTCCCTTATACTAATCGGTATTTTAACAGTATGTTGAAAATAATATGTATTTCGTGCGGCATTCGGTTAGTTAGACTGGGAGCTGAGCGGTATTCTCACAAACTGTGCGCTCAGCCCCCAGCTATCTACCGAACGTCCATTCGTGTAAATCAGGGAAATATTATGGAAGTTATGTATTTTAGTGTAAAATGTAAGTTCTGCTGCACGGAGGGATAATCCCACTAACGGTATATTCCAGTGGGAGTATCCCTCTCGTACAGCAGTGCATGATGGGAGAAATGTATGTGTTGGTCAGTTCCCCATGTAGTCCCCTACTGTACCACCCCTGGAATGTCAGTAGGGAAACCCCTTGCATGGGGAATCCCATAAATACCGTGACCTGAAAATAAACCTCAATTGACTCCCAGCCTATGTGTCGTCTAGTTCTTGAGAAGGAAGGATTCTTACAACGCTACCGGGATTATTGTAGGCTGTATTCATTTCCTTGGATTATTTTATGCTGTTCCTGTTACCCAGCGGAGATACTGTGGATTATACTACCTCTCCACTACAGTATGTATATTTTATTTATATAGCGCTAACAGGTGTACTCAGCACTTTACAGGTTACATTACAGGAGACGGAGGTACAGTAAGTGCATGTGGTATACAGTACATGTATATTTATATAGTGCTAACAGGTGTACTCAGCACTTTACAGGTTACATTACAGTAGAGGGAGGTACAGTAAGTGCAGTAGGTATACAGTGTATGTATATTTTATTTATATAGCACTAACAGGTGTACTCAGCACTTTATAGGTTACATTACAGTAGGGGAGGTACAGTAAGTGCATGTGGTATACAGTGTATGTATATTATATTTATATAGCGCTAACAGGTGTACTCAGCACTTTACTGGTTACATTACAGTAGAGGGAGGTACAGTAAGTGCAGTAGGTATACAGTGTATGTATATTTTATTTATATAGCGCTAACAGGTGTACTCAGCACTTTACAGGTTACATTACAGTAGAGGGAGGTACAGTAAGTGCAGTAGGTATAAAGTGTATGTATATTTTATTTATATAGAGCTAACAGGTGTACTCAGCACATTACAGGTTACATTACAGTAGAGGGAGGTACAGTAAGTGCAGTAGGTATACAGTGTATGTATATTTTATTTATATAGCGCTAACAGGTGTAATCAGCACTTTACAGGTTACATTACAGTAGAGGAGGTACAGTAAGTACAGTAGGTATACAGTGTATGTATATTTTATTTATATAGCGCTAACAGGTGTACTCAGTACTTTACAGGTTACATTACAGTAGAGGGAGGTACAGTAAGTGCAGTAGGTATAGAGTGTATGTATATTTTATTTATATAGCGCTAACAGGTGTACTCAGCACTTTACAGGTTACATTACAGTAGAGGGAGGTACAGTAAGTGCAGTAGGTATACAGTGTATGTATATTATATTTATATAGCGCTAACAAGTGTACTCTGCACTTTACAGGTTACATTACAGTAGAGGGAGGTACAGTAAGTGCAGTAGGGATACAGTGTATGTAACGGATCGCCTGGCACCCCGACTGGGTACCTCTGTTGAAGGATGCTCCTAGCGCTTCCTGAGGACTCCAAGCACTCTGGCAGACACCACAATCACCGAACCGGAGAAAAAATAAATTCTCCCAAGCATTTGAATGCTGTAGACAGTTGAATAGGAACCATACGAATAGGTTTACTCTCCTAGCAGTCAAACTGGAACTGCATACAATAAATCCTTCCCCCAGTAATGAGACGACACTTCACTTTGAGGGTTAAGCAGGAACTCCCTGTACTGTCACATACAGTCTCTTTTATTCCCAAACCACAAACATAGTACAGCCCACAGGGCGTTACAAAACAACCAATCAATCCGTACAATACACCCAGACACTCCCACACAAAATCCTCCCCTCTGCATGTGATATGATTACTGAACACAATGAGTAATCTCATTATCACCGGCAGAGGAATACAGTTTTTACACGTGTGACAGAACCATCTGTCTGCCTGGATTTTTACTACGTTCGTCTGTTTGTCCCCCGTTCGTATGAATGGCTGGTTTCTATAGCCCAGCCATTCGAATGACTCTTTTTCCCGAACAAACCTGCCGAACGAACGGCCACCCAAGTGAGGAGTGTGCTGCTGGATAACGAAGTGATCCCAATTAGAACGTTGTGGTTAACCGCAGACACTTCTCAATTAAACCGAATTCAGGGTGGTCGTCGTTCGTATGTCGACCACGAGGCATCAGCCATTTTAAATCAAGCGAACGCCCAGCGGTGTTTGGCTCTATTTCTATGGAACTGAAAACGGACACTTTTTCTGCCGAACACCGCTGAAACAACGGAACGCCTGGCTGCCTCCACGAAAGCATGCGAACACCGGCCGTTCAGGAGATTGAGAGCATACGAAAAGACTTAACCCAGATAGCCTTCCCATGGAGTCATTCGTATACCGAAGACTGTAAGAACTTTGACTCCATGGCGATTGAACTATGTGTGTGGGATCTGAGCGCTATTCGCTAATAATATGCACTCAGATCCAGGCTATCTGGGGACATGTTATACGAATGGGAAATGTTCAGTTTTTATGTAGTTATATATTTTTATGCCTTTTATTATTTTATGTCTAAGATGGCGACTGGCTTTGTCCTGGAGTTAATTGAGTTACTTGGTAATTAACTCCAGGGCAGAGGGGAGAGAATCATAATGCACTGTGGGTAAAATCTGTGACTGTGTGTCTGGGATGTCCCCAGATCTGTCTGTAATTTAAGTCTCCCATTTGGTCCCCTAGGGGAGTGTCCACCAACATAAAGCTGATCTTATCCTTTACCATTGTATGGACCTGCATAAATACGGGCAGGTAGCCCACAGTAAACCCAGATTCTGTTTGACCCTCAATGCGGAGCTTCTGTCTCGTTATTGGGGGGGGATTTCTTCTTCACGTTTAGAGACTGCTGGATGGAACGAAAGCCGCTTGGGGATTATTGCTGTTCGACAGTTACCAGCAGTTCGTGGATTGCCGTTCGGGAGTTTGGAGCCGTTCACGGATTTTGATCGGGAGATTGCCACTTCCCCTGCATTTGGTTCGTGTGTTACAGAGTAAGCGAACAGAGACTGTACTGCAGCCGGGGAAGGTCTACTAAACGGCGGTTTGGCTTAAAGACACTAGAGGTGTCTTAACAATTGGTGGCAAGCGACGGGATGAATCCTACAGCATTGGAGGTCAGCTACAAGACATGCAGTACGAGGAATTAAGGCGTGCTACACTTAAGGACATATTGGAACGCCGAGGAAGGTCAGCAAGCAATTTAAAGAAACGGGAGATTATTGCTTTGCTACTGGAGATGGATGCAGCAACGGGAATGGAGAGAGTCAATGTGCCCAGTACCTTGGATTTAACACCCGAGGAAATACAATTTAATCGGGCAGTGCATATAAGGCTGGCACATTTTGGCCCCAACCCCTCAGCTGACATCGTGGAGCGTGTGCAGGCAGCAGTAGCAGCACAACAGGCACTCCGGGAAAGAGGAGCTGCAGCAGCAGAGGTACCTTACAATAATAATGTGTTTGCTAGAAAGAAGGTACCTTTTGCTGCATTTAAAAATTTTGTGGAGACTGAGGGAGAGATTGATGGGTTCCTAGCAGACTTCGAGAGGCAGTGTGCTCTACATCAGGTACCTGCAGATGAATGGGTCACCATCCTCTCTGGGAAATTATCTGGCCGGGCTAGTGAGGCGTTTCGGGCCATCCCTGAGGAGGAGATCACCAGCTACCGGGCTGTGAAAGATGCGCTCCTAGCCAGGTATGCGGTGACCCCAGAGGCGTACAGGAGGAGGTTTAGAGAAACCAACAAGCTGGTTGGGGACTCTTATGTGGAGTGGGCCTGCAGAGTTCATCGTACCGCAGCCCACTGGATGGCTGGATGCCAAGCGGTAACTGGGGAGGAGGTGTTACAAGTGTTCCTGCTGGAACACTGCTTTGATAGATTACCTGCTGGGGTCCGGGAGTGGGTCAGAGATAGAAAACCCTCTACCCTACCCGAGGCTGCTCATCTGGCAGACGAATACACGGATGCCCGCAAGTTGGATGGTACAGCTGCCAAAGCCCCTGCCAGACTGGAGTATCGACCAGCAGTAATACCCGCTCCTTCAGCCTACCAACCCCAGTACACCGTAACCCAGCCGCACCGCCAGCTAACAATTTTGTACAGCCTGCACGATTTAATGCCCGTGAATATTCCCAACCCATCCGGTGCTTTGGGTGCAAGCAGTTGGGGCACAAGCGTCCTGAGTGCCCACTGAACAGTGCCAACCAAGCTCAGTCCTGGAGGAGACCAGTCAATGGGAACCAGCGCCCACCTCAGCCTGCTGCTCACTGCATAGAGCAGGAGGAATTCTGGGACATCCTACACGAGGCAGACCCAGTGCAAGCAGCTCACCAGGATAATCGCCAGCAACATCGGCAAACTGTGAAGCTGAATGGCAGGGTGGTAAATGGGTTGCGAGACACAGGAGCCACGATGACACTACTCCAAAAGAACTTGGTCTCAGAGCATCAACACACTGGGGACACTGTGGCAGTAAGGGTGGCAGGGGGTGCTGTGTTTCGCTTACCTGTCGCCCGGGTACATTTGGATTGGGGAGTGGGCGCTAGACATGTGGATGTG